AGTGACAGCAAATGAGAGTATGGTTGGATAGTCTGCATGTTGAGTGACTTGGCATTAGTTTTGACCCTTTTGCAGCTCGATTGTGCTTATCACATGCTTGTTTTATCATTATTGTGTCTATCCTGGCAGTACAATACAATACGTTCTCTACATCAGTTTAAAAGTTGATGTCTCCACCTAACATCGATATGTTGCCTTTTGTTAGCGATAGTGCACGTGCTGTTGTGGCACATATTGCTCTTTATCTTCCTTTTTAAAGTTTGAAATGATCCCAAACATTGGACATTCTGTCTTTTATGGATACTTTCCTCCTAGTTTGCCACATCAACCTAACTTAATTCCACAAGTAGTAGTGTGTGTGACTTGAGTAAACTACCGGTCGTCTGTGGAAAAATGATCCTTGCAAAAGCTTTGAGGCAGAGATTTTGCTTTGCCTTTTTTTTTTCTTTTTTGTAATGGAGTTATTTGAATTACTCTATCTTAGTGTCGTGTTGGCGATAACTTTTTTTTGTTCAAGCGTTAACTTTTTTTGATTAGTTAAGCTGTGCTCCAAACCCTTGCCGCCACCAAAGTAACGTGTGAGTATGTAAGCCTGCCACTTAGATGGCACCATCAATTGTGACACATTGCTTCAATGGCGACGTGCTGGTGCACCTTGACCGGGTCGCAGAGCCTTACTATGAAGGTGTCCCGAACCGGTCAGCAGTGACAGCTCAGACGAAGGCTGAAGTGACAGCCAAAACTGTCAGCCAGGTAAAAGTTGTTTTTTTTTTCCCCCTACAAAAAAAAAAGAAAAGAAACCTCAAACCTATTTCAGTCAACGTCTCCGAGTGAACTTACAGCCTGTACGAGTCAAGTGAGAGTCTCCTTCTGTGCCACCATTAACCGCAAAAATTACTGTATTATTATTATTATTATTATTCTTTTTTTTTTTTTTTTTTTTTTAGATGACATCTGGGTTAAAACATCCCTGTCGTGTACACACCAATGCCAGGCCAGTAGTTGGGATGTCACAAAAACCACAAAACAACTTTTTCCAGGTAAAAACCAAAAACAGCACCTATAGCTAGATTGGTTTGACACTCTGGCGAGGCGACTGATCCCTCAATCAAATCTGGTGAATGAGGGAAAATGCTCAAATAGCATCACCACATTTTCTCTCTAATACTACCGCTATCCAGAGGTCCATTTCTGCAGCTCAGCACTCCAGACTTTCTCACCTACATGCAACTAACGTACGTGCATCTGAGTCACATTAACACGCATGTGTCAACACACACAGGTTGTAGGATGTATGCGTGTGTGTTTTTTTTATTTTTTTTTGTGTGTTTTGTTTGTTGTTTTTCAATTGGTCTGTACGCTAGATCGTCATAAGTGTCGTACTACAAGACCGAGTCTTCTGCCGTGACACAAAAAGTGTGTGTGTGTGTGTGTGTGTGTGTGATGTGTGTGTGTGTGTGTGTGTGTGTGTGTGTGTGTGTGTGTGTGTGTGTGTGTGTGTGTGTGTGTGTGTGTGTTTGTCAGCATGTAATGCTTTATACATGTATCGTCCACATCTATGAGCTTATTGTGAGTTTGAGGGATCTCCCACCCCCGCACTCTCCCCACGGCTGGGCAACACGTCATGTCTGTCACCTTCTCTCTGGCCACAAAGCTGCCCATTATAGAAAGACGAGGGGTTCAGTGACCAGCGAGAGGACTCCCCCACTCAACCCCACCCTGAGTCTTTATACACGTTTTCTGCATGTTTGCTTGTTCTCTTTTTTTTTTTCCATACATTTTTCCACACTCACCTTTTCTCCCTTAATTCATTGCTGTTTTTTTGGTTTGTTTTTTTATACCTTCGTTTCGTACCAAAACAGTAGTCACATGGATACAATACAATGGCAAATTAACAATATATTGTTTTTCCAACAATAAAAAAAAAGATGGCTGAACACACATTACAAACACCACTAGTTTGGGAAAGAATGAACTAACAACAAGATATTAGTAATTATTATCCATGTACAAAAAAGGGCACCTCGACTTGCTGGGTATTCCAATTCCATCCGCTTCAAACTAAACAATTCTCGCAATGAGCGCTTTCCAGAGCATTTTGCGAGTCTAAATTAGCATTTTGTGCCCCATCAAAACACAATCAGTAGCAAAATGAGGATCACAGATGAAACATTTTCCAATAAGTGTCCAGCGGAGATGGTCCCAAAAACCTTCGCTGCGCTGGACATGAGTGCCCTGACGAGCTTACGTCACCTACGTGCAGGTAGTTGACAGGTCGAGATAAGATTGGTGCTACTTACACCACAGTAGCTTGTGAGCCACAAGCTTCGGCTGGCTAGTGTGGCTAAAAACCCATTGCGTTTTTACTCCTGCATCCGTAATCATAGCCTCCACGAATAAGATACACTTCTAACAAGTATTGTTCTGTATTGGTCTGTCTGTCTGAAACAACTGTGCCTCTTCTTTTGAGTTTTTATCATTTTAAATAGCGGCACTAATGGATGCCTTTCTCATTTGATATAGGTCTGGTTAATGTCTCTTCAAAATAAAGTGAGAAAAGGTAAGCAGTCATAGTGTGGATGTGTTGAGGATCATTCGGCCTTGACGGTTTTCTGCGCTCCACTGACGGCTGTACTTTCATTCATTCATTCATTTTCCGATCCGCTTATCCTCACAAGGGTCTCGGGTGGTGCTGGAGCCTATCCCAGCCGTCTTCGGGCATTAGGCAAGGGACACCCTGAACCGGTTGCCAGCCAATCGCAGGGCACAGACGAACAACCATTCACGCTCACACTCACACCTAGGGACAATTTAGAGTGTTCAATCAGCCTGCCATGCATGTTTTTGGAATGTGGGAGGAAACCGGAGTACCCGGAGAAAACCCACGCAGGGCCAAGGAGAACATGCAAACTCCACACAGGGAGGCCGAAGCTGGAATTGAACCCGGTACCTCTGCACTGTGAGGTTGACGCGCTAACCACGCCCGGCTGTACTTTATTCCTGAAATATTGAATTATTCCTACTCACATCTCACAAAACCAGACATTGCTTCCAAGCTTGCCTTTTCATTACGCAAATGCCTCTGCGCCCTTAATACGGACATTCAACAGTCGCTGAAATTATGAACTCGCATCTGCCGCCCCGTTGCGTGCGCATCCAGGCCACACGTTTGTTCCGTGTACGTGTAGTTGTCTTTTTTTTTTCCTCACGTGTGCTTAATCTTAAAGCTGTTGCACACATCTAATCTTCACATATAGCGTCAAATGTGCACATAAACATCGTGCACACATAAAACAACCCTTCTTCTCTGGCCGACTCTTGGAGGAGTAAAACGACTAAATGTGTTAAAAGCATTAGGTAAGCGTGAATCCAGCAGCACTCCTTTTTGGCAGGTATCACATGTCCTGCTTCATTACAATCTGCTGTACGCATTCAGCTGCCTCCATCAAGACATCCCTTCCCCTTTCCCCCTTGGGTGCTTTAACACAGAGTGGGCCATCTCAAGATGTTAGCTGCAGAATAAATGACGTTCCTCATTGTTGTTGAAGGCGGCCTGAACTGCGGAGCCTCCCCGAGCACAACTACACTCATGTTGCGAATGTCAGAAAATATTCATAAGGAAAATAGTCCCTGCTGTGAAGAGCAAGCAGGGCAGGAGTCGTTGGCACCGGCTGTGGGGAAAAGGGAGGGGAACGCAATTACTACACTATTTCATTCAAGTTCATTCAACAAACTATCTCTTGTCCACGTTGCAGCGCAGTTCTTGTTTTTGCAGCGGCTATTTTTGGTCCCAATATGACATGAAATACTTGGGAGGGAAAGCAGCTGAGAAATCCGTGTGTATTGGAGGAGGGCGGAGCAGAGGAGATCAAAGCAGCTAACAGGTAGCCTGCCAACTGTTACCTTTTATCCCCGTCAAAAGGCAACGTGCAGGAAATAAGGCCACACCTCGCAGACCGCAGCTGCGTGCGTATCAGGCGGCGAACTCACTGAGCTTCTTTTCTCAACTCTCGCCACAGCCCTTGGCCCGCTGAGTTGCCCTTGTCCATCCTCCTTTGGAAAAAAAACTACATTTATGCTACCAAAACGAAATACTTTACAGGTGACGACAGGACGATAGCGATATTTTTGACCAAAGTCAATGAAGGATCCACCCCGCCCCTCCCAAACACACACTGGGTACAGGTGCAGCATAAACACAGAAGCAGGGATTGGATTTTGGAACATCGTGGCAACGTGTGACCTTCTTCATGTTTTTATATGAAATTAATTCAAATTATTTCCAAATGTAAAATACAATGTTGAAAGGGGTTTCACTGGGGCTGCACAGATTTCCGACGGGGCTATGGCACCCCCTAGCCTGGTGTGGCGCCGTGCCTGATATTACTGATATTACATGTTCTGATACTTGTCACTGTGCAACTGATGAACATGATTGACAAGCATGATCGGCCAACCCATCAACAGCGTCAACGCAAATCAGTACCTAGTCGAAGCTCTCAGCTTAGCAGTAATCACATTTGTTTTGTTTTCATCAATGCTGCGCCTCAGGAAGAATGAGCTCCATATTAGATAATTAATTCAAGGATGTCAAGGTTTCTGATATGTGACACTCCTATCGAGCTACTCTTCCCTTCAGCCTCGCCGCTGAATCATTTCCTCTTAAAAAAAAAGTTTTGTTTGTTCGACCCCCTGTTCGTGCCTTTCTCTGCACCCCGCATGTGTGATAGATGAGGATAGCAGAGCGTATGTTTACGAGCGCGACTGCTGGACTTGGCAGGGCCGAGCGCTCCTTCAATGACTCACAGTTCATCACAGCTCGCTGATTGACTGACTGGGAGTTCTTTCCAGCAGAGTTTACATTATGTACACGAGTATCTGCTCTCACTGGTATGGCGCTCACCTTCTCTATAAACGTCCATTTGCTTCAAAGGGCTCCCAAAAGAAATGCACATTTATGGCCATCATTGTTAATGATGATATTCCTCCTCTCCTTGCAGTGGTCCTACGCTTTGGAGAAACCCAACACGGGCAGCGTGTTCAGCCTGGCCTGGTCTGCTGACGGCACGCAGGTGGCTGGGGCCTGCGGGAATGGCCATGTCATCTTTGCCAATGTGGTGGAGCAGCACTGGGAGTGGAACAACTTTATGATCACCCTTACCAAGAGGAAAACCATGCAGGTAGAGAATACACTCAACGGACACTTCATTTGCTATGTCTGCCAAAGTGTAATGAGATTCTACACAACAGCTGTATTAAAGCGTCTCTCTTGACATTTATAATGAGCTCAAACCTTGGCCAAGATTGAACAAAGGTGACGAGTGCGGAATTGTATGCCAACAGATGTCATCCTTCCAAAAAGGAAAACAAAGTCCCGGGGGTTGCCATATTTGTTTGTTTTTAATTAGTTTAGGTGATTTAAGACATGACAGATAGATGGATGTATGGACTCTGTACCATTGCTTTGCGTGGTGTGGGGTCGTAATAGTTCTGTTGTGACTCAAATGATTAAAAAAAATAAATAAAAATCCTCTCTAGTAGCAGTAATGTCCAAATTTGAAGCAAAATGTAACTACCCATCCACTCTACAAATAGCGATTAAAACATCTCTTGCCTTTGAGCCGTCATTCTGTTGTAAGATTTATTCGGACAATTAATGTTAGGGCTGCAACTCACGATTATTTTATTAATTGATTAAGCTATTGTTTATGTTCTTGATGAATCAACGAATTGGATACGAAAAACGAAAATGTTTTCGTTTCCATCCCGTTGTTCCAAAACACATTATTTCAAACTAACAGTGCAGAAAATACACAAACGAGGTAAAAATGTTGATCGGTCTTTTCCCAAAGTAAAAACAGATGTTTGTAAATGTCTTATTTTGAAAAACCGCAAAGTTAATCAGTCCACTGCTTCCTGGAGGACTACAGAAACGTGAGAAAATTGACTCCACTTCAGAGGCTTCTGAATTCTGAGGATTTGGTAGTTGACAATTAAATTGATGAATCCTCAAACTAACGTACAAGTAAATTAATACAGGGGGGTCCGCTGTTGACGAGTTCTTTTTCTATGGCGGCGGACTGCCTGATATTTGCAAACGTAATGTGAACACGCCATAGTGTAAAGTCTTACATAATTGCAGGAAATCTTTGTATGGAAAAGACTTCAAAGCATAACACGGTGTCCTTTTCCCTTCAAGGCTATCTTCTGCATCCTCCTCTCTGAAACAAGCAGCCCTCATGTTTTCCTTCACTCCATCCCTCAACCATGTCTTTCATCTTCCTCCAGGAGCTCCATCAATACTAATTTACTCACTGTCTGTCTGGATGTGCCCAAAGCATCAAAGTCTGGTGTCTCCAACTTATTTCCAAAACATCGAAGCTTAACCGTCATTCTGACGCGCTCATTTCGAATCCCGTCTAACTCCGAAAGAGAACCTCCAACATCTTGTTTTCCGTTACTTACGCCGCTTGAATTATTGTCCCCTCAATGTCGAATGTCATGACTGAGGAGCCCCTGCATCTTTTTAAAATTGAGCATTATCATCTTGATGAAAATTGTTTCGCTACAGCGTTTGTATCGCTTGTGTTGACAATGAGTAAATATCCCGAAAGTTGAGCATACAGGCGCCACTTGCATACATACAGTATAAAATAAAAAAAATACCGCTTGTAGCCATATATTATAGTTGAACCCTGCTTGTTTGCCAGGCAACCTTGCAATGACAATGGCTGCCCTGTCTGGCTGCCTTCCTTTGCTCTACTTTTTTGTACTGTTTAAAGTCAAGCTGACCACAAAGTAGCATTTACACGCATTTAACGCGCCCAAAGGACCCTAGAAAAGGATACGCACCTAGAAAAAAAATAAATAAAATTAAGAAAGCAGCGTCAGGCATCTTTACTGACTGCAGTTTGTGTAAACCAAACAAACGCGGGTCATCGGCCACTTATTTTCAGCCTGGCAGGCACTTTTTCTGTCTCCCTCCTCCGCCTTTCCTCCTCACGGGCTGCTTTAAACGTGCACATCTGCCAGTGGTTTGTGAATCAGCCAGCTAAATTTACCACCTTGCGCTCGAATGTTGTTGTTTTTTTTTTAATTCTTGGTTGTGTTGCTTGTAAATTTGACTTGCTGGAAAGGGCAGAAGAGGAAGATTTGTAAAGCTGTAAAAATAACCCCACCTTTCACCTTGCGCTGGAAAAGGCCCTTTCATTCATTCACAGAGGCAGCTGCTAGGGAAGTATTTATCTATGGCAGCACATCAGTACGTGCATACGCACATTCCAAGCAGGTAAAAATGTCTTCCTCTGACCACAGTTACCCTATATATTCTTGGATATATGATATACTGCTTCCTGTGTATATAAATAAAACATGTGCACTGCACCAATCTTTCATGTGCCATCCTATACTTTTTTTTTTTTTTTCCCCCCCACAGGTGAGGAATGTGATGAACGATGCGGTGGACGTGTTGGAGTTCAGAGATCGAGTCATCAAAGCCTCGCTGGCTTTCGGGCACCTCGTAGTCGCCACATCTCTTCAGTGCTACATCTACAAGTGAGCACTTTACTCAGTCCGCGCATCCTTGATTCCCACAGCCACGATTTTTCACCCATTTCCTCTGGAAGGAGCTGGAATATAATGTTACTCCACTTTGAGAGTTAACATAAGACGCCTTATATGGACATCAATTCACACATGATGCGATTCCAAACCTGAACGCAGTTTCTCTTCCTCAAAGCCGTTTCGCTTATAATGTATTGAAAAGTGCATAAAAGCATTCAAGTGATGACCTCATACTTGTGTTGCATTTTGAATTCCAGTTTATAGTCACTTCCCTGCAATAAGAAATCATAACCACCGTTAACCTGGTCCTGCCATTTCAAACACATTCAAAATCATTTTTATTTATTTTTTGCTTTATTTAGCAACATGAAGTTGAAAAAAAACCCTCTTTGTGATCCAGTGTTGTTCTGCACCACTGTAAACCACAACCATAAATAATGAATACAATAAATATGCTGCACAAGTGTCACCAGTTCTCGGAATTATTGTATCACACCAATTCATGGTTCAATGCCCCGTGGGGAACATTGTGCATAGGGCTGTCATGACTCAAGTTTTTTTTTTTTTTTTTTTTTTGTCGAGTTAAAATGAATTACAGTCAACCCACCGATGCTTAGGGTGGATTGACATATTCACAGAGATTTTTATTTTTAAATATTTAGTGGGGGGTTATTTAGTTCTCCCCCCCCACCCCCATTTTTGTATATTTGATGTTTATCAGCATTGTTTGAATAATTTATGGGGGCTTGTTACAAAAAAATAAAAAATTCCCTCCAATGCATTTCAATGGTATCATGGGCCAGCTTGGCCCGGGGTCAACTGTAATCGCTGACCTCATTGATATTTTTACAGCATAATATAGTCGTCCCCAACATTTTTGCGCCATGGATTGGACAGGTTGCCTCATGTTCTAGCCAGTGAGTTTGTAATTCGAAAACGCTACATTTATTAGCATATTGTGTATCTTGTCCATATCTTATTTCTATTCTTGGCCTTGTTGTCTGAGGTTATTTTCACTTGAATGCCTGTGTTTTTGCAAAGAATGATAGGAGCACATATTAATATGTTTTTGTTTGTGCCAGCACACGGAACTGGAACACTCCCCTCATATTTGACCTGAAGGAGGGAACAGTCAGCCTCATTCTGCAAGCAGAGAGGTAAGTCGCATGCTTAATCCCGGCAAGCATTGGAACAGGAGAGCCGGACACGGTCATAGGATCGCCTCACAGCCTCGCTAAGACTTGATTACTAACACACACACATGGACATAAACACATCCACACAGGAGCTGTGCTGTAGCTTAGCCAAAGTATGTCATATAATAAGTCTGATAGTGTAACCGCTCGGGAAAATCAGATTAATGTGGAGTAGCTCTTGTGCGGCACTCCAGTGCAATGTCGCTGACACTCATCATACTGCTAAATAGATTACCTGTCATTCTCTAATCACTGCCGAGCCGCCAACGTCACGCTGAGTAACTCGCTGCTGTTTTGACTATGCGTAAAAGTCCTCTACCTAATGACCGTCTGGTTTATTAGATGAACAGACGCACCGCATCCATATAAAAGTCTACTCACTGTATCGTCTTTCCTTCCCTCGCTGCCACTCAGGCATGCTCTTCTGGTGGATGGGGCAGGGTTGTATATATTCTCCTATGAGGGCCGACTCATCTCCTCCCCTAAATTTCCCGGTATGAGGGCTGACATGCTAAATGCTCAGTGTGTCTCTCTCAGTAACGACACCATCGCCATCCGTGACAAGAGTGATGAAAAAGGTGAGAGGTTCGCCGTCTCAAATATGGTTAGGAACACTGATTGCTCATTGCCAGCTTTTTTTTTTTTTTGTTTGTTTGTTTGTTTGTTTGTTTTTTGAATCATCACTAGTCATCCTTCTCTTTGACGCCTTGACCGGCAAACCTCTTGGTGACGGGAAGTCTTTGACTCACAAGGTAAGCAAATCCATTGGTGGGAGGGAATTCTGGCTCTTGAGATTATTTTTGGGAATATAAACAGAACCAAGAAAAAAAAAACAATCTCCTGCTGCTCAATGTAAGTGAGTACTCCTCAAATGACTTTGTTTTGTGTTTTCTTTGGCATACTATACTTCAAAGTGACCATACAGCAAATTTGATGTCAATGTACGCGCATAATTTTTTTTTCCCTAACAAGTTAATTTAATGTTGCTACAAATCGAACTCTATTAGAGCTCTTTTTGAAATAAAGAAAAAATGTAATTCACAAGGATTCTGTCATGTGTGCGTCGAATCATCGCAATTCTGAATATTCTTCTTGTTCACTGAGAAATGCATGAAAAACGTAATCATGTTGAGTGCTGTCCAACCTCATGTAAATTTACAATCCAGACCTGTTTCACAGGTTGTGGGATTTTATTTTTAATCACACTCACCATCCATCCATCCATCCTTTGTTTTGCTACCCAATGCAACCATGCAAAACCCAGCCGACCGTGAACTAACATTTTCCGGCGGGAGTGGTACAACAAAAATAGTTCGTCTGGCCAACTCGTGAATCGTGCCTTTATGTTTTTGTCAATTATAGATTTTACAGCTCCTTCAAGCCCTGCATTGTGAACCCAAAATGCTTACTACAGCAGTTACAAGTACAGAACTTGCATTCTAGATGAAGTCATCCAAATGGGAGATCCAATAAAAAAAAAGTGACGTTCTAAATTGTTAATTGATTGCTATTTATTTTTGCCATATTTTAATACTAGTTTAATAAGTTGGCAATTGTAGTGCAGCAGAGTTTATTTGATCGCATGTGTATTCTAATGTTGCGCTCCTCTCATGTATCTAATACTGAAAATATCACATACAGTATATAATGTATGACATAGTTACGACGGCAAATACCCACGATTAAAAATGAGTAAAGCACAAAGGAATCAGAGGCAGCAGCGGTTGCTGTCTGCATGGCGCTGTCTTCCAGCGCACTGAGCTGAAGCCAGCTGGCGAGGACCTCAAACAAATGTGCGTGCACACATTGGCTCCTACAGAGAGTTCGCACACATACACACACCTCTTGGATGCCTGTGTGTATGTGACTCCCTCTTACACAGGCGCACGCTCTGCAACAAGACTGTGGAGGTCACAGTGCAAACGTATGTCTTGCTTCTGTCACTCACTTCTTTTCCCTAAGTATGTGCGTGTGCGTGTTCTCTCCGTGTGTAGCTGGAGGTGGTGGAGATAGCTCTGGATCAATGCGGCCCGTCCACCGAAAGGAAGATCGCTTTGATCGACAAGAATCGTGACCTTTACCTCACTTCTGTGCGTTACCTCGGACGTGAGCCCAAAATCTGCAAAATTGGTAAGAATTTAACATACCGGTAGTTTTTTTTTTTTTTTTTTTTTTTTTTGTGCTGTCTCTTAACAAGATTGTGATACGTGTGTCGTAGGTAGTATGATTCACAGCATGGCCTGGAACAATGCGGCAAACATTCTGTGTGGTGTCCAAGACAATCAGTTCACAGTGTGGTACTACCCAAGTGCTGTCTTCATCGACAAGGAGCTGCTTCCCAAAACACTTTACACAAAGGATGGCAGGTAAGACTCAAACGACTTGCTTTCTTAACGTTTTTATTGTTTGGTTGTTTTTGATGCTGAGTGAAAAGTGACTGCTTTTTACCACACTGACTGGGTATAATTAGTCACCGCAGGAATTGGCAATTGCGCAATTTGCCGGCAATTTCAAAGCTTTCCGCGGAAATAAAGGCATGGTGCAGAATATTTCACGGAAATGTAGTTTTCAACCCAACAGCTAGATGTTGCGGTCAGACAGGCTTAGTTTACACTGCTGTTCTTTCGTTAAATCTGAATTATTTATTTATTTATTTATTTATTTTTCAAGACCACATTACAAAACTAGCAACATCCATCAGTCATGTGCATTTAGGCATCCATTCCTGCAAGCTTTGTGATTTCCCCCACAGGTACATACGAAATTATAAATATACTGAGGTATTGTTGTAAAACACTATATATTTACACACTAGACTCCCAGATCCACATACTGTATTTGTGGATTTGTTTTATAATGTGTTTTTCCAATATTTTAGTTTTTCCCCCTCATTTCCCTCTCATTTTTCATGCATATTGAATGTTGATCATCAGCTTTTGTTTTTATAATTTGAGGTGTTGAAAAATAAAATGATCTTTTTGAACCCTCTGGCCAGAGCACACTGTTACAGTTTTGTGTTGACGTGCCTCCTCCTCTCACTTCCAAGCGAGTTCAGCCATGCACCCCACATTCTAAGCTACGTGGACACCAAGGTTCGATTGCGGCAAAGAGACGGTTCCTTGCTTTACACCAGCGTGCCTCCATACGCCGTGCTACTCCACGAAAACAGCAGCTCAGCACGCTGGGAGGACGCACTTCGCCTCTGCCGCTTTGCCAAGGTAAGGGGTCTGTTTTACGCCGAAACAGCACATTTGTTTTTCTTATATGAAGTGTTTCTTTTGATGTGACATACCGCGCACACTATCGCTTAGGCACAGTTGGGCTTCCTGCAGTGTGTGTCACGCTTGAGTGGGCATTCGCCTGTGAACTAGTCGGAAATGAAAAGGTAGCAGACAGGTTTATTGCCTCGACCAGCAGGCTTTAATTACCCTTCAATTAGCCTAGTGACACCATTTGCTCCATTTAGCCCCACTAAAGCTCACAAAGCACTATACAGTGTTACCTCTACTTACAAAGGTAATTGGTTCTGAAAGAAATTTCTTCACTAGAAAAGTTTGTAAGTAGAGACGCGTTTTCCATGTAAATGCGCTAATCCGTTCCAAGCCCCCCCAAAATTCAGACATAAATGTTTTCTAAAACATAAAAATGCATCAAAATATGTACCAAATACATGTTAAAATTAGATTATTGCACAGTAAATGAGAGTTGTGCATAATGTAAAAAACAAAGAAGAGAGTCAAGAATAAAAATGGTGGTCATTTAACTTTTAACTGCGTCCTCGTCGTTTTCTTGCCCTTTTTAGTTCATGTTCTCGCTCAGAAGTGGTTTTTGCGTTGCGTTTTGTAAAGAACTGATCCAAGGACATTTGCTTTTGTCGGCAATTCTTCGAAAATGTGCAAGGCAAACATCAGCATCGTGAGCAATCGCCAGACTGGTGAACACAAAAATCGGAACGTCTCATGGCCCGAGCGGCGAATGACGAAGATGCTGCATTGACACATATCTATATATTTATCTATCTACACACAGACACATACGGTAGAGGTCCCTCTTAGCCAATGGGATGTCAGCAAGATGCTAGGTAATAGCCAATGGCAGAGCTTCTATAAGTATGTCGCGTTCAGGAAACTCGTAGCTGCGAGTAGCAGCCCATACTGTATTTTTACCTTTCGTATCTTGAAATTTCTTTCATAACAAGAGGCAATATTTTCCTGTTGAGGCGTTTCGTAGCTTGAAATTTCGTATGGAGAGACGTCCGTAAGTAGAGGTACCACTGTATACACGTATGGACTCTTCACAGGACATAACTTCTTTTTTTTTTTTTTTTTTTTTTTAATGCTTGAGCACTTATGCTATAACCACAACCTGAGAAAACAGGGTGACTTGTCCCAAGAGCAGAGATGGAACAAAGCACTCACAACTTGATGTTGTACATATGTCGTTCCCATCCTAAAACGTGGACCCGCTGTAAATTAGAAATTTGAGCAGATTTCTTTTTTTTTTTTTTTTTTTGCAGGGGGGAGGGGGATGATGTAAGTAAAGATAAAGCGGAAAACCGTGATGACAACCTTCGAAACAAAAATAAATGTCCACAAGACAGCCAGCTGCGTTTGGTTTTATTTGATGGGACAACATAATGCATCAAATGTTTTCTCATGGTGACAGCTAGACACTTGAAGTGTCAGGCCATAATTGTATTTCTTTTGGGGACTGATCATGTTTGACATTTTAACTTATTAAAGCACACTTAATACATTTACACTTATCAAAACACTGAAGTCTTCTTTCATGCCTGGTCTCACACTCTCGCTTGCGCCGTTCTCCAAGTAAGAGGCAAAGTCATGGTTGCTTCAAGCTGTTTGGCACTCCCAGCTGTTTCCTGTAAAATTGACACAGAAAACAAAAGAGAATTAAAACATTGTTTAAACACAAAAAAATTGTCATCTAAATAATGTCATTTTTTTCGACCACACTCCATCAGGGCACCAAAGAGTGCTTTCAGTATCTCGTGTGTAGTGTGATGCCCCGCAGTCTGCTGATTGGTTGATGTCTATTCTCACTTTATCATGGAATAGGAAGGCACTAAACGGTTCTCTGGAAAGAGCAGATGCTGGGTTTCCTCCACTTTTGTCCTGTTTCTTTGTTGATTTTTCCCGAGTGTAACTGCTTGTCTGGTCGCGGCAGTATGATGCCGCAAGGCTATATCAGTTGCAACCTGTATCATGGAATGTGGAACTGCAGCGCAGCACTTGGTGGCAACGTGGCCTCATCGCGCTTCCTTGCGTGTGCAGGAACAGTCTTTGTGGGCATGTCTGGCTGCCATGGCGATAGCCAACAGAGAGCTGACCACAGCGGAGATGGCCTACGCTGCCATTAGAGAGGTAATTGATCCGTCAGCGTAGCGCTTTTTGAGTGACTCTGGAGTGAGCACGTGGTAGGCGAGCTTTCATCTTGCTTGTTTCCTCATCCCCTTCCCAGTTACCGCGAGTGCATTACATCAATTTCATCAAGCAACAGCCGTCCAAGGAGTCGTCTTTGGCCCACCTGCTGCTGTTCAGCGGGCAGGTCCAAGAGGCAGAGGCCACTCTGTTACAAGCTGGACTTATCTATCAGGCCATACAAGTCAACATTGATCTATTCAACTGGGAGAGGTAGGCAGACGTTTCTATCTGTGTGTGTGTGTGCGTGCATGCGTGCGAGCGTGTTTCTGAGAGTCACTGTGCGTGCATGCATGTTTGTGTGCCAGTCAAAATGCAGCCTTGTCGGTCGATCTGAGATGAAGAGATGCATGTTGGTGTGTTTCCAGGGCTCTTGAGCTGGCAGTCAAACACAAGACCCACGTAGACACCGTGCTGGCCTATCGGGAGAAGTTCCTGCTGACATTTGGCAGGAAGGAGACCAATAAGAGGTTCCTGCAATACGCAAAAGGGGTAAACTGAAACAGCCTTTCTGTATTTGCTGCCTCAGATTAATTGATTCAGGCAGCAATCTCGTGCAGTTTAACAATGGGGTTTTTCTAACAGTCCCGCGCAGTTTACAAGCCTTTCAGTCACGGTTTACACATCCAAATCTGATACAAACACTCCGGCGTTAATCAGTTCCATACTTGCAGTATTGCTCAGGAAATGAGTTTGTTTTTTTTTTTTTTTTTGATGTTTCTGTCTCTTCTGTATGTCTCTCTCTCTCAGGTTGAGGTGGATTGGGAAAAAATCCAAGCCAAGATCGAGATGGAGTTGTCCAAGGAGAGAGCGAAAGCTGCTAACGCGTCTGTCAGGAGCAGCTTGGCCCAGCGACGTTAATTGTCAAAAGGAACCTTCTCATTTCCTTCAAGATAAATCACAAGGCCCGGGCTGTCGAGTAAAAAAACCAAGAGCCCAATTTTTCTGACTGATATCTAACAAACGGAGGAAAAAAACAGCTGACGTATTTAGGAATTATTGCAAAACTGGACATGAATGATTCTTGTCCAGTCCGAAGCTTTTCTTTGAATTCATTGTACTCGTAATACAGCCCCAGTAAGATGGGCACGCACAGACATTTGCACATATCGCTTTTCACGTACTCCTGACATTTCCGCAGGAAAAACACCATTGTAGCCTTCCTCCTTCCTCTCATATCACGTCCGATATTTCACACTCGTCATTGATCTTAACAGTCTGTCTCATTTCGTAAGTTAGTCGTGTTTGGAATGTGTTTATAGAATATGATTTTTACAGTTTATAAACAAGAAACAAAACATAAAAAAAATTGTGTTACTTCTTTATAAGTTGTCCCTGTATTCTTGCATGTAATTCCTATATTTTTTTATATTCGGAATGATAATCTTCATCTTTAACAAATATTTCACAATAAAAGTGCCCAAGTGCTCTTTTTTCCACAATGAATACTCCAAATGCTTATCACGAACTTCTACTACATCTTCTCCTCATGTTAGATGGCAAAAAAAAAAAAAAAGCTTGGCAATTCAGCGTTACCTACCGTGTCCAATATGCCGTCTTCCAATTGGAGCTCATTTGGACAAATTCCCTCACTGGAGTTCATTTAAAAAAAAAAATGGAATTCATCCAACTTGGCTGTTTCAAACCAAAATGACTTCCTGTGCAGTTTTGTGCAAGGGTCCAAAATTGAGACTTTATTCGATGTCCTGTTATGATAGGCATGTTTACCTCGGCCCGTAAATTAGTGAAAAGTCAAATGGGGGCCTATCTTGATTTATTTATTTTTTTATAATTCTGAGGCAGTACTGGTTGTGTGGTTTTCGTGAAGGGTCATGTTATGGACCCCTAATTATACATTTTCACCAAGATGCACAAAGGTTAAATTTATTAATTTTGGTATTATTGTATGTCCATACAGAAAGAAGGAAGGTCAAACAGTCATTTGACAGTTTGTTTGTTTTTGTTTGTTTTTTTAATCTTGCACTGGACAAATACACCATATGTAACTAAAACTAATACTAAAAGTAATAAAACCACCTAAAAAGAAGCGTTTTTGAAAAACTCAAAACCAACAAAACTACTCCAAAACTGAATTAAAACTAACCCGAGTATTAAAAAAGTCCAAACAAATAAAAACTACAATGAAAAATCCAAAAGCATTATAACCATGGGGTCAGGGGCGGGGTGGTCATCGGGAATTTTGGTAAACATGTTCGCTTTTCCGAACAACCCGCGTACGTCCTCCCGCCCCGTCTACGATTATTTTTTTGGCACGTGACTGCCGCACCCCGTCGCCGACTATGTTTCGGTGCATGTCTGTGCGTCGACATCTTTGCAATGCATCACACCACCCCCATTCCGCCCCCACCACTCAACTCCCGTCAACAATTATTTGTCGGCGGGTGACGGCCGCTGTTAACGCATACGCCACATGTCAAATTTAGTTCCCAGCACGTCCTTGTCTGGGATGCACATGCTTCCAAAAATTGGGGAGTTTTCAGGCATGCTTAGTCGGTGCAAAAGGCCATTTGTTAAAATGCTCATAATAAACAGCGATAAGAAGAGGAGCAGAACACAACATTGTGGTTTGGATTATAATGTTTGCCATCAGTACTGTAACTACTCAAATAGTGGGTTCCTCTCTAGTAGGCTTAAATTAATCGTGACATCCACTTAAATAAACACCACACGCCACCCCCCCGAAAAACAGCATGTGGTGGTACTAGTTAGCTGTAATGACCTTAACTAGAGCCACAGGCGGGCGACACACAGTGTTATTAGCCATCTCCTTAGCCAAAGCCAAAAGGTAAGCAGAGCTCCACTGAGTTTTGCTTAAAGCACAGATCAACACATTCTAACGGCGTTATCTTCTAAAAACCGGCACGCGCATACTTGGCTCTCATTGATGGACAAGATTATCAATATTAGGGCTTTTACTTTCGTTATACGCACTCCCTTTTTTCCTCAGATGCTCAGTCGCTCCGCCCTAACTTAAGTCATATCCTAAACAAAGCCCGCACGCCTTACTTTGATGTAACATGGTTGTCTCTTCAAAATAGACTCATTTCAGCCAGACATGAAATAACGTGAGTAGATTTCAAAATTGTTGACACTTGATGAAAAGGAGACATGTTCAGACATTAGGGAACTATTTTAAATTGTGAGGAAAAAGTGGACAATATCTAATTTAACCATTCCATGGACCCTGTAACCTGATAACATGATACGCTGTCCTTGAAAGGGTAAATTTAATACCGTTACCACACAATACAAATGCAAAGATATGAAGGCCTTGCCACTTAAATGATAGCTAGTAAGCAATAAATGCTTATTCGCATTTGCTACAGTGGAACTGAAATCATACTCCTCACACTTTTCTTTTTTCGTGCCTTTGCATTCATGTGCATGTCTCCATAGTACATATTTATTGGAGGAAAAGGAGACTCAACCTTTCCCAAGTGCCGCCACGGGAAGACATCAGTTTTATATTGACCCTTAGTTAAAATTTCATGTAGGCTACTGGAGAACGCTCATGCCGTCGCGCATGTGAGAACGTCACTCAGCATTCACAGCTCTTAAGCCTCGTAAAATGACCACCACTTTCTCAGGGGTCATTCCCCTCTCATCTGGCCCTTAAGTGGGTTCTAAACATGGATTTGTGCTTCTAAGTGCTAACCCCATCCACCCACAGATTTCTCTCTGGAGGAGCAAGGCCATCAGTCATGGTCAGCCAGTGTTGGATTACCTGAGCCACCGCAATCACGCTCCACTTTGCGCAGCTTTGAAAAAGAAACCAGACTGGTCTGTAACTGTGAAATGTTCTTTTTTTTTCATGACTTACTCAAAGTAAGTCTTTCTGCTTATTTAAACCACGTAAGCAGGATATAAATCCCGGCGCTGTGATATATGTGGTGTCAAGAGTAGTTTTTGAATTGTTGCAAAAAGGTCACCTCATATTTCATTAGGCAGCAATGACTGCAGAATGAATGATGGTTCCTGCACGCCCCCCCTCACCCAGGCCCCTCCTCTCTAAGACACAAGAGACTTTTGAAAGTGTTCATGTTGGCCGATGTCAGTTTTAAGTGAAATTCAAGTGAATCCATTCCTTGCGGGGAGGGGGGAGGAGGGGATTTTTAAAATACAAATTTGATATTTTTCTTTCAAGGTCTGTAGCGGTAAGCACCCACAATTGACATGCCTTAGTACCGTACAACTTAATATGATTTCAACTAGCTGTCTTCAAAACGAAGAGCACCATTAAAAAAAAAAAATCATCCCAGACGCTCATTTGCAATCAAAAGGCGATTGTAGACTCTCTTTTATTGTCAACAGTCGATGTTAAAATTGCACTTGAGAGTAAAAGTCAACTAAAACTCTTAAAGAGGATATTGTCTTAATGCACGTTGTTTCCATCAGACAGAGTTCCGAGATGTCCTTGGGCCGGGCTGCTGCCCTTCCGACCCCTCCAGAACATCCATTCTGTGCTCTCCAGCCCCCGGCCCCACCGCCCTGCCTCTGCCCGGACCGCTCGTCTCGTTTTCGGCCAGCAAGTTGTCGTCGGAGCGGTCCCGGTGCATCTCCTGCATGCTCTCCTCGTACGTGGGCAAATACTTGACCTCGTCGTAAGCTGGCAGGTTGGGCGAGGCGAAGTCCACCGGGTTGCAGTCGGGGTAGCGATCCAGCAGGGAGTCCTGGGAGGCGGACGCCGGGCCGTGGAAGAGCGAGGGCTCCTCCCCGCGGTCCTGGTGCGGGTGGCGGCGCGGTCTCGGGCACACTATCCTCTGGATGAAGTAGCCCATGGCGAAGAGCAGCAACAGGATGAGGATGCCCGACAACTTCCGCGTGAACCAGCCCACGTTGTCGAAGAAGATGTGGATCGGAAGCTTACAGCACCGAACAGTTGAGCCCCCTCCCATCCCTCCTCCTCCTCCTCCTCCTCCACCACCACCTCCGTCGCCGCTGCTACTCCCGTTCCCGGCGACGATGGGCGGGCAGCACTGTTGGCCGTCGGCGCACTGGACCTCCCCGCAGCTCCGCAGGGCTTGACACACGGAGAGGAGGCACGCCGAGAAAAAGCTGCCGGCGCGTCCGCCGCCACCCAGACGGGACATCGTTGCCGGGTATGACGTTCTTTGGTGGACCCCCGCCCTGGTAAGCGTGCGGCGTGCAAGCCAGGTGTTCCCGCTCCGCGCTGTGTGGTGATCCGACTCTCGCTGCAGCGAGGCGCGGGACAGCAGGTGCACCCACCCCTCTCCTTACCATCCTCCTCCTCCCAGGCAGACCTCTGTGATTGGAGTGGATCATTGATGAGCATCATGAATTTCTTATGCTGTGATCTCACGTCCGTTTTCCAAGCGCAAATACACATCCGGGCCATTGAACTTGGTAGTAGTGGGAAGTGACGAAGTACAAATGCAATATTTTGTCACCGTAAGGGTGTTTTTCGTTTCAACGTAAATGCATGAATTACTTACATGTATTTATTTTTTTTTAATCCCTCTTTAAAAATCATAAGCGCCTGGATGCTGAAATTTACGTTCATGCATTGTCTGGAGCAGCTGATGGTTAAATGTTATATATATTTTTTTAAAACATCAATTAGTTTGTCCATTAAAGGTAGAGTTTGCAGTGATAAAGCACACACATACCTTCTGACGTTGTCATATTTTGACCAAAAAAAAAAAAAAATGCCTTAAAGGGGAAGTCATGTCAAAAATTTTCTTTGCAATAATATGAAAAAAAAATCTCCCTTTCCCAAGATAATAAAACTAATTCCAGGGTGAAAATATTGCAAATAAATTGTGTGTGTGTGTGTGTGTGTGTGTGTTACACTGTCGTTCTACGCCCCTAACTCAAGTCAAACGGTGCAGATCAGGTCCTCTGTGTCATTTTATGTGAACGCCATGGAAGCTTGACACATCATTAATCCAGTTTAAAAATGCTAACCACATGCTATGATGGAGTGGTGGTTCTACACGGACCATGTTAGGAAAGAGACAAAGACGTGTAACATCCCACATGCTTGTCTGTAAACAAACTCAGTAAAACTCAGCTTCTGGTGAGCAGATGTTGTCTATATTCCTATTCGCCTTCAGTGTTTTGGTTTTTTCCCCAATCGCTATTGATTCTCTATTTGATATGGCTGCTTGTGTACTCCCTGATCATAAGGTGTCGTTACAGAGAACATGCAAACTCCATCCAGGAGGGCCTGAGCTGAGATTTAAACCCTGATCATGCTTACAACTCTAGCCACTCCGCTGCCCTGCATTTCTATCCCTCTCCTCTTCTATCCCATAACATGCAGCGCATTGGGACTGTGGTGTACAAAGTAGTCAGACCTCACATTCATACTTAATGTTAAGCACAGTACTTGAGTCTCTTATTTGGCCACTGGCAGAAGTCCACAAAGAGCACACTCTTACGACTTAATACCCTCGCTGAACGCCTGGTGGCCACAGCAGAGTCAACGTCCGTGATACAAGGCGCCAACGGATCTGCCCCTCTCATAAAAAATGAATAGTCCTTGCCTTGTGGGCTGTAATACACCCCCCACCTACCCCCATAATTAGCTGACTGTCTAGTCTCACATTGAAGTGAAGCATCACCCTTGAGGACCATACTTTTTGTATACCATTGAAGATCGTAACCATAAAAAGTAAACATCTAGTTGAAACGCTCACTCAATCTGTTAGTTTACACTACAAAAGCAATAAATGACAGAGCCACTTTAAATCACAGCATACAATATGGGTGGATATGATGTATGTTTTTTGGTCTGTTTGCTCCCAACCGCAAAAGCGTTACAATGATGGCAAGGAGGAGAAATATAATGAGGACCTTGAACTTGAAAATACACATGGAAGGGGAAGCAGCGCCGGCTGGCCCTTGAGGCAGTCGAGGCAAGTACTAGGGGGCGCTTCAGTATAATCATGTTAAAACTAGTGATTACTTTTCACTCCTAAAATGGAAACGCTAACGGATTCTAATCCAAAGTAATGGCCGATTCATATTGTCAAAAAAAAGCGAACAATTGGCCTCAAACAACATGCTATGCTAATCAGCAAATAACCCTGAATCATAGTAACATTAAAAATGATAAATAAATCATCAATGAGGGTGTGTTCCATCTAAAATTTCACAGAGGGTTCCACAATGGGAAGGCTCGGCTTAGTGGGGAAGACAATGTTCTGGTTGCTAAGTACAGCCGAAAAACAGAAAGTACCCGGGAAGGTAATCTGTGTTTCACTTTGGCAAATCATTTTTGATCTTTTTTTTCACATCACCGGACGCTTGTACCCCTGCCATTTTTTTGCAAATTAGCAAGTCAGTATCCTTCCATACTCCTCCGGTTGGACCGCTTGAAACACAAAAAGAAAAAAAATGCATATTCTGCACAGAGAAATCAAATTTTTACTCTTGTCATAGCTTTTTCACACTGCCTTATTTGCAAAACTGTTGTATTAGAATTACCAGACGACCGGTCGCTATGGTCACCTCCGACTTGGAGCATGAAAAGTTGAGTTCCCACGCCAAAAACTTTGACCTGTACAGTCCTAACTACACGAACTGATAAAGCCTGCTTGGATGAGAGAAGACACGTCTTTCTAAGACAACCAGTACAGTCCAGTTGTGCTTGAGTCAGCCCTCTTAGAACCATATTGCTCAATCTATCATTCATCTGCCTCCCCTCCCTTCTCATGCAATGGACGATTCCATTTTCTTACTCCACATGTAGAGACTGGATTGAAAAAGAGGGTAGCAAAAGAAACGCGGTTCTGAGGAAAATTAAGCACAGTGTCTGCAGTGGAGCGGAGAAGAGGATCATGCAAGACAAAAACAAATCAATACTACTTTTTTTCCCAGACCAAATACAAATACTGGTACTTTGTAATTTAGTCCATCTGCATGTTCTTTCATTTCAGTGATCATTTTTTCAGAGGATAATTTGCAGACACGTGGCTCCATATGACTGATATCGTTTCCACCTGGAAAGTACAGTATATGCTTCACGGTATCTGTGTGTAAATATCGGGACAATTTTTGGAGTATCGAGTACCGGTGTCTCGACTGATGCCGATATCGATACTGGTGCTTGACCTAGCTAGTTGGGCAACATGTTAAATGAGTGCTTAGCACGACTTGGGGTTGGAATTTGGACTCTGGCCTTCCCGTGTGGAGTTTGGGGGAATGGATGGGACCATTTGGCACCTCTCTGTTCCTACAACTCAGTATAATATGACTCAACAAAACGTCTTCAAAATGAATACAAGAGGAATAATGGAATGTACACCGCGAAGCAAGCTCCCAAAAATGTTGCCTGTAGGCCTACAGTTCAGATTGGACCTCAACAGTCTCAAAGCACTAATGCACTGTATAGCAAATCCCATTACTGCAGCTTTACAACATAAAGTTGAGCAGAAGGTTGGCATGATGCGCCCTAATTTATGCAGCATCGTATTTCTTGTCTGTACTCTGCCTCAATTACGGAAACACGAGCAGGGGTTCTGTCTAACCAAATAAACAAATACACAATCGATAGCCACTGGCTCTGAGCGGCGACTTCACAAACCATTTTTTTTCCTTCCCCCCCCCCCCCCTCCCCCACAACCCCGGTCCATATACTGTAGCTGCATGGGTTTTTCCCGGCAAGTCTGCCATTGTGCCTCTCAGCGCAGCTCTTATTGACATGTGCTGCTATTTTTAATCACAGCTGTCAGCGGGGTAAGTGTTTCAAAACGTGTAGAAAAATGCTGCTTTCTTTCTGGACGGAAAGACTGAGATCATTGGGCAGAGCACAATGCCTTCCAAGCAGTTGCTGGTCATTTCCATACGGTGGCTTCTCCATCTTTGCCATCTTTGTTTTTAATCGTATTGAGCTATAAACCATTTCCTCCAGCTTGTCACTAAGTCTCCTCGAGGCCCTGCTAACTAACCGCTTCCTGCACGCCCCCCTCACCCCCAAGAAATACACCCAACAAGTTAGTTCCAGTGTAATACTGTATGACTCTTTCTCCATAGCAATGGAGCAAATTTCATATCAACAAGCATCTGCAAAAAAGACTTGAATGAGTGTCACAAACTCTCACTTTTTCCATCATATTATTTGATTTGTATGCAGCAGCGCAGTGGTCCAGTGGTTCATTTGTCTATGCCACAGTTATGAGTTTCTGGGTTTGAATCCTGTGTGGAGTTGCGTACTCCGGTTTCCTGCCATATTCCAAAAACACGTTAAGTTCATTGAAGACTGTATGAATGTGAGTGATCCTTCCTTTCTCCATACTTTGGCCTTTCTGTTACGTTGGTGGAAGTTAATCTTGGTCTCATCTGTCCATAAAACTTTGTTCCAAAGCTTTGTGGCTCATCTCTGTGCTTCTCTGCAAAATCCAATCTGGTCCGCAACACACAAGCTCATCTGCGAGGCATGGTAGAGGTACTGTCATGGCCTTGTGGGTTGAATGGCTGCTTCTCGAATGGGATCAGTAGTTTTTATTGACCATGGAACTCAGGATAGTCGCAGTAGAATGAATTCTGTGAAGTCTGCAAAACCATTTTAATGTCTGTTCTAATACTTTTTGCGTGAAAAGTGTAACGTGGGTGGCTTCAGACAAAAGAAGGCTTCTAATTTGGACAGTCACAGTGATTCCCAACCAGTGTGCCGGGGGGGCACATTGGTGTGCCATGAGATCAGTTAAGTTGTGCCGCAAGAAATTATCAAATTTTACTTAATTGATCGGAAAATTATTTATTTATAACATGGAATACATCTTTGGTCATCTGTCCATGCCAGCAACTTACAGTGACCGTCAGATCAAATAAGACAACAGAAAGTATAGAATTGACATGTTTATCCACATTCTGTGCCATTTTTGTTTGGGGTTGTGACGTGAGATTTTTCCAATTTAAAATATGTGCCTTGGCTTAAGAAAGGTTTGGAATCACGACTGTAAATGGACACAATCAGTGATTTCTTTTGCACGCACACACACACACACACACTAACAAACACACTTTGAATGTGAATGTGCACACAAACCACTTGCACAAAAATCATCTTCTTCCCTTGCTGCCTTAACTGAACTGATCATTTCAAGCAGACGCCTTTTGTATGCGCAGTGATAACACACTGACTGGAGTACTGCGCTGTAATAAACATGTGCCTCCATTAATCCGGCACAAAGGTTTCTTGTGCTTTAATAATTCATCCTTACGGGCTCCATTCGGCTCGCGCCATGATGAATGGCTGCGTTCATTTTCATCTGTCAGACTTTGATGCGCAGGCCACCCTCGCAGTCAATGTCACGCTTATCATGTTTGCATTAATTATGAATCAAAGAAAGCCCTGTTGGGGCTCAAATATTGTTAACGGACCCAGCCAAGGTCCCTGAGTTTTGCTTCGAGACACAAATCAGCGATGCGGCATCGCCGCCCTGCAGGGTGCCTTTGGCACGGTCCATCCAATCAACCCCCCCCCCACCCGAAAAGAAAAGAAAAAAACCCCACTATATTCTTAAAAAAAATTATACAGTACGTACAGATAGTCACAACTCCTTATTAACCTGCTGTTT